TGTGGGCGTGGCTCTCATCATATCACACTGCACAATGCTGTGTTGTCCTGTGGGCGTGGCTCTCATCATATCACACTGCACAATGCTGTGTTGTCCTGTGGGCGTGGCTCTCATCATATCACATTGCACAATGCTGTGTTGTCCTGTGGGCGTGGCTCTCATCATATCACACTGCACATGGAAACATTCCAGTTCTTCTTTTTGCAACATGATATCATGTGCCACATATGATCATGCCGGTGTCTTGATCTGAATAAGGACATTAAAATTTAACAGGGGTATTTGATGTATTTTTAAATTTTGTATTAAATTCCCTCATATGTTCAATTCAGCCCACGCTGCATTCGGCATGGGAGATGCTGCAGTGAGTCTGTGACCATCTGATTCCTGCTGTTTTGCACTCTAAGGCTTCTTGAATGTTCCTATCTGAATGCATAGTCCAGCACCACCAGCATCTGCCCAGATGAGAAATGCATTAAAAGCAGCCCGATAGTTACTTAGCGACTTGGCTAACAATAACACCGCCTCGGCTCGTTATATCTAGATCTAGTCTATCACTCAGATGGAACCGCGGTAACCTAAACACGCTGGACTTGGAGCAGAGCTATTTTTAAATCTGATTTCTGAGAAGCTCTCTCCCTCTTGCAGGTGATTATATGCTAAATGCATCTTTGGTCACGCTTGGGTTATCTCCAGATCACACCTTCACCAGTCCTCTGTGTTCTTGGGCTCCAGACAGCATCAATGCCTGTGACATGCCCCCCCCCCCGCCAAAGAACTCATATTCGCGCATACCCCACAGCCCCTCCCTCACTGTCACTGCGTCATCTCATGACTGCAGGTAGCCCCGTTGCTAGGAGATGATGTCTCTGCTGCCTAGCAACGGATGTTTCTATATTCCTGTCAGGAACAGGATCGGCAGACCCCATGTCCGCTCATATGATGCCGTAAACTCCCATTTGCTGACAAAGCGGAGCTATCAAATTCATGGCCCCCACCTGTCAGGGTCAGTAGTGATACTGCAGCTCTCTGCTCAAGGTGCCTGCAGCACAGGTTAAAGGTCACAGGTTAAAGTTCACCTGGGACAGGGCTGAGCACTGCAATATCACCTCATTCCTATAGGGCTTATACTTTCCACTGTTTTTTTTTAACTGTTGCATTTATGCACAATTTTAGGCATTTTAAGATATGTTATACATCAGCTGAAAATATGAACGAATTTCCAGGAAAATCATATCTAACAAGATATTGAAGAAAGCCACAAACGTATGAAGGTGAAGGGTTTTGTCCTTCCCAAAATGAAGCTCTTTTGATTTTTGAAGCCGTGCAACACCATCTTCTAGCACCAAGATTAAAATGGTTGCTAATAGCAACAGATTTCAAATTATCAGCATCTAGCTTGCGTCTTGCTTGTGTTGCCACAGCTCAGGGAACCACAGGTCCTTTTAACGAAACAGGGGGCAAAAAACAGCTGATCATTTTGTTTTATATATGGCCATGGAAGGGAATGGGGGAGAAAAATCTCTGTTGGCTAACAGGAGACGTGAGAACCGAAGGGATGTTTAGTCTGTCTGTCTCCTTCTGCCTGGACGTGCACCTTCCTCTCCTGCTCGTATGAACATTCAAGTGCGATTCAGCTCAGGGTGCACGGTAATGGGCTTTGCCACACTGCCAAGCTAAGGAACCGGCTCCACTTCAAGGTCGTTTACCCAGACACATAACTCATCGTTTCATGTGTGCACCCGTTCTCATAATCTGCAGTCCACTCTGTCCTAGGTATGCACCTCTCCCAAGCCTTAATGCACGCTCACAACACACTCCCAGAACTATAGACAAAAATGTTTTGTCTTGCATTTTGTACAAAGCTACTTGAACTTTAGTTGGTTAAATAAATTAGCCCAATAAATACCTACTAGCTCAAATGATAAACAAGGTGAATGTGGTGGAACTTGTAAGCCCAGTTTTCTAGAAATAAAAAAAGATATTTTTCTTACCACTGGTTTTTGTAGTTCTCAATCCTGATCTTTGTAGGGTATAATTTGGAAATGCTTTGACTAGAAGTGGTTCACTCATAGCCCGGATCGTCCCAAGTGACCCAGCGATACTCGTAATGCAGCCTCAGTCCCTACAGAAGCATCACAAACAGCTACGGCATGTTATTCTCTCTGACAGATTCTTAGGTTTCTCACATCATCAGTTCTATGAAGAGCTGCTTCTGTCTGTCTTGTCAGGCAGACTAAATATTGCACATGTAAAATAGGGATACTTTATTAATCCCTGTGGGGAAATTCTTTTTTAGCCTACCTCGTCTTGGTCCCCCTTAAGACACATATACCGGTGAGAGCAAGCTTGGGGTGACAGCACAGGGTCAGCACAGAGTCAACCAGCATGCAGCACAGGGTCAGCACAGGGTCAGCCAGCGTGCAGCACAGGGTCAGCCAGCGTGCAGCACAGGGTCAACCAGCGTGCAGCACACGGTCAGCACAGGGTCAGCCAGCATGCAGCACAGGGTCAGCCAGCATGCAGCGCAGGGTCAGCCAGCATGCAGCACAGGGTCAGTCAGCGTGCAGCACAGGGTCAGCCAGCGTGCAGCACAGGGTCAGCCAGCGTGCAGCACAGGGTCAGCACAGGGTCAGCCAGCGTGCAGCACAGGGTCAGCCAGCGTGCAGCACCCCTGGAGCTGGGGATTAGAGGCCTTGCTCAAGTGCCAATGGACATGTGACTATTCTGCAAAGACTGGGGCGGGAATTGGAGATCTTCACATGCACAGAGGCAGAGCCTGCTGAGCCACACACCTTCATACAAGGTCATGGGTACATTGTACAAAAAAGGGGATTTTACTGGTAATAAGCTGCAAATGCACAGAGTGTCGTATTCCGGGAATATTATGAGGAGAACCAGAGACTTGGCCCATAATGTTGCAGAAGCTGAAGGTAAGATTGAGAGGGCATCCAGCAGCAAGATGGAGGGACTCAGTCGTCACAACAAAGAACTGGTGAGCATTAAGAAGCAGACAGAAGACAGGATATTCTGGAGCAACGCCATCCACATAGAAGACAGGTGTCAACATCACCTTGACAACACCTAACAGTAACAGCAATAAATAAAGCAGGAGAGTCTGAAAGTGACAATAGGAGAGATGAGGAATTCATGTAATGTCAGTTGTTCTCTGTTTTAATCAGATAAGGGATTTCCTTGTTAAGTTTTTGGCTCACGCTGGCGTAACTCAGGCAAATCAGTGATTATCGGGTCCACTTTGGCTTCCAGAGGCTTTAAATGAATCACGTAAAAAAGTATTTACATACAAAGCGGTTTCACGTCAACAATCTGTTCTCTGAAATGTCCACAGACTTCAGCACCAAGTTATTACTCTGAGAAAGAACCATGTAATCACAAAAGTCACTGGTGGTGAGTAGCAATGAGGACCCCGTGACTTGGGGAATCTCATTATCCTGTTATTCCAGGGCACAGAAGGGCAGCTGGACCTGGGAAATCCGTCAACTTGCAGCTGCACTGATGTGCTTCTTCCTGAATCTTGGATCTTACTGGATATTGTCTTGGGTTTTAGCTGGACACCCATGAGCTTTGGATCTTGTAATAGGAATGTAATCCATCCTCAATCCTCCTTAAATTACCCTCCGGCAGAGGGTGGGCATGCGGGTTGGCTCGAGGGGGGTGGGAATACTGTACTTGTGTTTGTGTGCGTGTGTGTGTGGGGGGGTGCGTGACCTCAGTGTGTCTCCCTCTCTGACTGTGGCCCCCGGACCTCCCAGCTTGCTCTGGGCTGGTGACTCACAGGTTCTGCAGATGGTCGGCTGTGACCAGACACCAAGAGGTCCACCAGCAGAAGGGTGAAGCTGAGAACCACCCCCCCCACCGGACAGGAGGCACCTTAAAGCAAAGATGGATTCATCAGTTTTTACATTAGAGCTTGAGAAATCAACAGTTCTTTCATGGCTTTATTTTTTTTATTTTATGAGGTTTCTTCCTTCTTAGAGAATCCCAAATGTGTCACATCCATCTGTCCATCCATTTCTCAGATTCCACAGAGTCATAATCACCCTCTAACTAATACTGATGCTACCTGTGAGTGCGCACACAGATCATTCCATCGGTGACTCAGATGCTTCTAGCAGGCTTGGAGCGGGCTGGGATCTTCACAGCATTCCTTGGATGCCCACGGAGAGCCGAAGAGCGTGCAGGTGTCGCCGGATGAAATCCAGGGAGTCGCCGGACACGGGAGCGTAAAGCATTACACATTGACACTGCAAGATGCATCATGTGATTACCTCACACCTCTTAGTGAGAGTAATTAACAATTAGCGGGTGAATCAAACTTCCGTTACATATACCCAAGCGTGTGAAGGCTCTGGCATTCACGCTGCCTTCACAGAGCATTCCACAGGCCTCACGCCTCAAGTCTCTGAAATGCCATTCGGAAGTGACTTCGGCACCACAAATTCACAGCAGCCTTTTAAAGGCAGGCTTTACATTAGCCCAACAACCAGCAGGACAGGATGAACGGCAAATAAATGTCAAATCCTAAACTCTGTGTGGGCCGGCATGCTAGCCTGATGTGCCGAACTGCATGTGACGTAATGAAGAGTAAGGAATCCGAATGAACAGCTGTGTGAAAGACCTTCATATCCGCACCATAAACCAGGATTTAAAGCTAGAGTTACGAGCATGTGGGCATGACCATGGGTGGCAGGTAGGGCCATCGAATAGACATCCGGGGGGGGGGGGGGGGATGGGGCGGAATGAGCTACTTCAGGTTTTACAAACTCATCCAGCTGTTTCACTTTAACATTAGTGACATGCGCATGATTATAGGAGACCGACCAATCAGCACACAGCAACAACTCAGTGATTAAGAGAAATCCAGGTCATTTTAATTGAAATGGTAGTTTACAAACCCAGTCACAGGTCATAGTGCCCCCCGCCTGATGCGGATTAGGTGGGCACCCCAGTGGCAGGGTGGAGAGCGCACTAAATAAAGCCCTGCCCTGCCCCAGCAGTGGGGTGTCTTGCTAGCTGTTCGCACACTAAGTAAATGGGAAATTGGTTTTTGGTTAAACTGTAATCCGCTTCCTACTGAGAAATGAACCGCTTTGCTGGAAATTCTGGCCGTCGTCCCTTTTCTCACCTCTGTCCGCCCGCACCGCGGACACCTGCCGGAGGTCTTGGGCTCTTTGTCGCCGTGAGTCGCTGGTCACTCCCCCCGTCAGGCCCCACCCCATTCTGTGAGAGATTCTCAGGGTTCCACAGTGACTCTACTGCCCTGTTTAGGCCACTGGCGCTGGAGGATTGCATCGATTTCGCGGGTCAGCACCCCCGCGGCATGCCCCCAGACGGGGGATCAAGGTAGGGATTTGACAAAATCCAGGGGGGGGCGGTGCCTGTGGCCCTGTGTCTGTGTCCCTGTGTCTGTGTCCCTGTGCCTTTGTCCCTGATGTGACCAAACACAGGCTGCGCCGGACCTGGCCAGCAGGCCATGTTCATTAAAAAATACAGAGGGTGCTGGGAAACCAGTACGAATGTGACAGAGAAGGCAGCCCCCCCGAAGCAGAATCTGAAGTCATTCATTTAAAGACAACCACGAAGTCTGCCACCATGTGACCTAATATGTTACCAAGAGCATTTTAATTGTTCAGGTGAAATGCCGTGTGTGTCACACAGCCTAAAATGACATAAAGTCCAAAATACAAACAGCCAAAGGAGCACTAACCTACAAGAAAAACATTTTATCCCTTCAGAAAGTTAATTACACCTCTGAAGCTTGTAAGTATCTGACGGAAAAGCGCTTTTCAGGGAGCTGGTGGAGTGGGAGAGAATCCCGTGATTCAATGCCAGTTCAGTGCCAGGGCACCAAAGTGCACAACTGCTCTCCCCAGAGCAACAACAGAGGCTGCGCGTGTTTCCACATGCATCATGAAGCTGATTAAGTGCCCTTATGGGAAACATGAAGCAGATGGGATCTGATTGGTGCAGCCTGGTTGACCAATCAGGTATGAGGTTGATTTGAAAGCACATATACTGCAGTATACTTAGTAGTGTAGTGTAGTACTACCACTGCCCTGTACTGGAAACGTGATTATACATCCTTATCTGACGTTTTAACTGTGTCTAATTCATGTGTGACCTATTCTCTGCTTTGCTTCCAGCCCTCTACAGCAGATTAAAGCAGGTTTGACTGCCTAGAACATTCCTTTTTCTCCTGTTGTGGGCTGTTACAGTCTCACGCCGCTCAGAAAATGTCAAATGGCAAAGGTTTTACGCAGCACCAAAGTGATACTTGGTTTGTTTTCCGCTTCATATCGTGTCAGTTTTTTATGCTCTGAATTCATTTGCCTAAAACTGCTGCTGGAAAAAGTAACGCCAAAGCAGCGATACAAAAGTGAGTTATGAGTGTCACCTGAGATTCTAGGCTGCGTCATTGCCAGGTTGGATCTTACGAAACGTCACAGTAACTCCATTTGAAAGTGTCCTCAGATACTTGGAGCAAAGATAGACTGAGACGTCTCTAAAAGATTGTGTTAGATCCTGATGAGCCCTCTACAAGATGTAAGAAGATGCTGTTTCAGAAGTAAAATCTGAGAAAAATGACTCATCTTCCTGCTACAATCTTGTTTTGATGTCGAAGAAAAAAACCAGAAGAATCTCTGCTGCTACATTGGCCTTTCTCTTGGGAGAGCTCACTGGGAAAGCTCACTGGGAGAACTCATTGGGAGAGCTCACTGGGAGAGCTCATTGGGAGAGCTCATTTGGAATGCTCACTGGGAGAGCTCACTGGGAGAGCTCACTGGGAAGAGCTCATTGGGAGAGCTCATTTGGGAGAGCTCATTGGGAGAGCTCACTGGGAGAGCTCACTGGGAGAGCTCATTGGGAGAGCTCACTGGGAGAGCTCATTGGGAATACTCACTGGGAGAGCTCACTGGGAGAGCTCATTGGGATAGCTCACTGGGATAGCTCACTGGGAGAGCTCACTGGGAGAGCTCATTGGGATAGCTCACTGGGAGAGCTCATTGGGAGAGCTCACTGGGAGAGCTCATTGGGATAGCTCACTGGGAGAGCTCACTGGGAGAGCTCATTGGGAATGCTCACTGGGAGAGCTCATTTGGGAGAGCTCACTGGGAGAGCTCACTGGGAGAGCTCACTGCTTCCTTTGGTTATTCACAGTGTCAGCTGCTGCTAACCATGTTACAGTGGATCCAACACACTCAAGGAAATTTTTCAGATTTGAAATAGTCTAATTGAAGTAAGGAAGACAATAAATAAATATATGTCAAACGTCTGTAAGGGTAATAAAATCCAGTATCAGATTCAGGGTCTCGGGGGGGTCCGGAGCCCATCCTGGAGGCTGTGGGCTCAAGGTAGGGAACAGGATAAAAAAAATAAAATTGACCTGTTCCTGAGCGCAGTCAATAACAGATGGTGCTGCTGTTTTGGCGAGGGTCACCACAGTCAAAACACAGGCATCTAACTACATTTAATCATTTACCCAAGTCACAATGGCCTGCAGCCTTACTTAACTTTAATAAAAGGCGATTCTATTTATCCATCATCCACTTATGTTGGCCAGGGTGATGGGGGGCCTCGAGCCAATGCCAGAACCCCACAACGGGCACAGGGCAGGGGTACACCCAGGGCAGGGGTTCACCCAGGGCAGGACAGCAGCCTTACATACTCATATCTCAGAAACATCAGCATAATTTTATGTTTTTGCTGCTGACAGGTATTTGAATTATGATTATTTCTTTCAAGGTCACACAGTAGGGTGCCTCTGCTTTAATCCTGCTCAGCGTAATTAGCCTTAGCTCAAAGTTCATCCAGGCATAACTGGCGTGGGAGTTCACCTGTCAACGTTCAGAGGCATTTTCCTCCATGTTTTGCGGTGATAGCTGACGGCGTCTCCATACTTCTGAACTGGCATGGAGACAGACAGGGAGCACCGCCCACACAGAGCCGGTGTTTTCTGCATCCAATCAGAAATGGAGAAATGGATACGGGCATCAGGTGAGCTCCCAGAATCCTTCCCTTCCTGCTTTCATGGCGGGGGGGGGATCAGCACATGCCTGCCGCCAGTTGCCGCGGATGGAGATCTGCTGCCGGCGCCGTCTGTGCTGAGCGGGACCCACGGGCTCCTCCAGGCTCCTTTGTGGAATCTCAAGGGACGGTCGGGCCCCCCCTGCGCTAGCCGTCATCTCCATGGCAACTGCGGTACCAAAGGTCATAAATTGTATGAGAAGTCAGTATGAAACAAGGGACTAGCAGGGAGCAGCCGGATGGTAACGAGCCACAGGGGTACAGCCTGTGTGACAAACTGCATCCAGTGGAAAAAGGAAATGTCACGACTCCCACACGGCGGCCACACAGAACACATCGACCAACCAGCCTCTTAGTGAACTCCGACCTGATTACCTCATATGCAAATCAGCCCCACCCAGTGGCCGAAATGGCACACAGTGCATGTTTCATGTGTGGCTTTGGGGAGACTCTGCGTGAAATATTTAAAGGTGATCCATATATTTTCATACCAATTCAACTCCCCTGTATGGTTCCTTCAAAACCAAATTGTGCTAAAGACTGCCAGCGGAGGCATTTCAGGGGTAGTCATCCAGAATACCGCGGTGTAGGGTGTCTGCATGTAGGAGCGCAGACCGGAAATCAGGTCAGGGCGCTCGGACGTCTGCCATGTTGTCTGAAAGGTCACACAGTCTCAGCTTTTCATCAATGCCTCTAACGCATTTTTGTTCACCATCATTGCACCAATTTTACCCCCCCGCCTCCGATTCGGGACATGATGGCGCTATGAAGCCAAAGCAAAGCCAGGAGTGATTTTGGGGGGGGTGCTTCTCCTTCAAACGCCGCCCACCCAGCCCACGCGTGAGTGAATCATTCACCCAGGGACGCTCACCTGCGAGAAGACTTTGGGTAACCGTCTATGGCCGACGTCCATTGAAAAATAATAACAGTTAATGAAAAAAGGAAGTCTGTTAATAAATCGTGAGGAAATGCCAAGAGCTCAGTGGTGACTGCCGCCTCCATCTGGCAAGAAATGTGCTACAAAAAATCAGGGATGGGTATACAGCACATTTAGCGGCGTTCCCTTACAAGCACATCCACATCAGAGACTTTTAATTTTATTTTGTGTCATGGGATCTAATTAACTGGATGTGTTTTTTTTGAGATGCATCCTTACTCCTCGTAAAAAGCTTTGTGGGACTCTTAATTACTTCAGAGTTACTCTTTGAAAAACCAATGGTAAACTCCGCATAAACACCTGATGAACAGATAGCTAACCATACAAACGTCAGAATGTCATTTTCTCTCTGTCACATTAAAAGTCCTTATTAGTTGCCTTAGTCACTGAGTAGATAAGCAGGCTGTAATATGGAAACTGTAACTTACTGCATAAGCAGATCATTGTGATCCATGTCTAGCTGGCCATAGTTCCTCTTTGAAGTCAGTGACTTTTTGCACCAGTGCTTTTAAAAACAAATGAAGAGGGAAATGACACGTCACTCTTGTCACAATGACAAGTTTCCATGTCTCACGAGACTTAACCAGTGGCCCCTGACTAGACTTCAGCGGTTTGAAAACATCCCTGTCGCGTACGAAGATTTAGGCAGCGGACACCCGATGAAACCTGAGGTGATGACTCCTCACTGTGTAAATAAAGAGAACATGGAAGCTGACACAATAATTCAATGTGATAAATGGAGAAGAATGTGCATTTTGACACAGCGGCGGTGAATAAGTTAGCCATTCGCTAATCGGGAAAAACAAACACATGAAACCCACCCTCCGCAAAGCAAATATTGAATTTTGCCAACATGTAATGTTAACAGAAGCACAGAGGTACTTCATCTAATCTTGATTCATTGCACAGTCTACATGTATCAGGTAAACCATGTCTGCACAAGATTTACATGTTTTGTTTGTAGCACATTTTAGACACCCTCCCCCCACCACCATAGAGTGGAGACCATGCTCAGTAACACGCCTGTATTTTTTATATTCTACTACTGGTCCCAGCTATATATCACACATCAGTTTGCCAACCGCATATATGCAGTATAAAAAAACACATACGATCTGTATTCGTATTTAATGAGGTACAGAGTAACTGTAAATGTTATATCCTTAACATTCTTGGTATGTTCATATTGTGACCAATGCTTGACATTGATCAATATGTAGAAGAAGCCCTTTTAAATGTATGAGTGCTCTGGGTGCTGGGTCACTGGGAAGCCTCCTAAGATACTCACCCTGTTCAGGCTGAGATGGATCTGGACATCGGCTCGGTGAGTAGACCTCGGGGACAGAATGGGCTGAGTCAGAGTATCTGTGAAAAGAGGCTGTCAGCTTCCCAGCAGGTGTTCACACGGCATAGACCACGCACCGGAAGCAGGTGTTCACACGGCATAGACCACGCACCGCCATCAGGCGTTCACACGGCATAGACCACGCACCGGAAGCAGGTGTTCACACGGCATAGACCACGCACCGCCATCAGGCGTTCACACGGCATAGACCACGCACCGCCATCAGGCGTTCATAAAGGAGGCATTGACAGCCCTTTGGATGAGAGTCGACTCTGCGCGGCCACTTGCTGAGCGCAGGGGCAGGTCTCAGGCCGCGAAGACCTCAGGGACATCCCGCAAGGACACCCCACAAGGACATCCCAGAAGGACATCCCGCAAGGACATCCCGCAAGGACACCCCACAAGGACATCCCGCAAGGACATCCCAGAAGGACATCCCGCAAGGACATCCCACAAGGACACCCCGCAAGGACATCCCAGAAGGACATCCCGCAAGGACATCCCACAAGGACATCCCGCAAGGACATCCCACAAGGACATCCCAGAAGGACATCCCACTTTTCTGGGCACTATTCCCAGACCACAATTAGGACTTTGGGCCCTTATTTTCTTTCTGGGACCTGGACAGATGAGCACGTGGGAAAGCCTGTGTTTATTTTATCTCGGCTGAAGAAAGCTGATCATGTACCCCGACTTACAGTAAACATTTAGTCTAGAGTATCTGTTGTCACGGTTGTAATAATACCCTGTGAGAGGCCATCCATCAGGTAGCGACTGAATGGAATGGACCTCCACCCTCCTGTTTGCCTGCCTTGGAGCCAGTGGGTGCTCTGGAATCCATCTTCACTCTGCTGGACGTGGAAAAAGATGTGACAGTCATGACCTCAATAGACTTCAGCAGATATCAGGCAGCGGCAGGCCTCTGCTTCTTCAATCAACGAAGAAATAAAACAAAAACAAAAGTGGATTCCCTGATGCTGAGATTAGTCCTGCCATTTAAGCGGTTGCCATGGGTAACAGATTCAGCATCCTCTGCAATATATTTCCCGTAGCATTAGGATGACCCCATTAATAAGAGATTGAAGCCTGTCTTTGCCAGCACAACTAAGGAGGCCAAGGTGCCTGTCACAGCATGGACTTTGTCCAGTGCCACTAAGAGCAGCCTGGCCAACATTCCCCTGACACAGGGTTGCCTTAAAGAGAAGGTCAAAGGTCAGACTGAACAACTACTAAACGCCACCTTAATGAAGTGCCCTGCATTTACTCCCTGCAGTGTCGAGGTCTGGATTCGACATTCCGACACACTCCCAAGGAGGCCTGCTCTGTCCTAGCTGTGCCATGTTTGCCCCTAGCCAAAGGTCTTTTGTTTGCTTGGAGGTACTGAAACGTTGTCCAGCTGCCCAGTTTCCTCTGGCAATGCCATCTGTCACCGGCCTGGGGATGCCACCCCTTCCCCCAGTCCGTGAGATGGTGGGGCTGGGATAGACATGTAAATACATTTACATTTACGCCATTTAGCAGACGCTCTTTTCCAGAGCGACTTACAACCAGTGCTTTGTAGTCCATGACTGTTCTTCGATCTATAAGCTAGACCTAAAAATCAGCAACTGTCATCAAGATCAAGTTAGCGTTTAGTACGTTTTATATTACAAAACCTTGTTAGGAAAAAGCAGTGTGCAGGAAAAAATTGTTAGTGGGATTTTTTTTTTAATAGAGAGAGTGGACAATAAGGAGGTATTAGTCTCCTAGGTTCTCCTTGAAGAGGGATGTCTTCAGATGACGCTTGAAGACAGGAAGGGACTCGGCCGTTCTTATGGCAAGAGGAAGTTCATTCTACCACTGAGGAGCCAACATTGCAAAAAGTCTTGATGCATGTTGTCCTCTTTTAACTGTATACCACACCTAGGCTGCCAGAACTCGCCGGGGATTTGAAGGAGGCTTTTAAGGGGGGTGGATTTAATACCATCAGTTCTGTAGCATGTGGGAGACACAGATAACATTCTGCGAGTAACAGCTTAGAGGTTTATTGTGCTGCTGAAATAATGTTAAAATATAAGGAAAAATAAAGAAATAGGCAGCAATGCCAAGCTGTTATAAAGGGAACAGACAGCTTTAGAAAACCTGTCAGTCTGTGGCAGAGAGAATCGGTCTCTGAGGTACACAATCCACAGGCGACTAGGAAAGTGACCAGGAGCGCCTGCAGGGGGCAGGAAAGTGACCAGGACCGCCTGCAGGGGGCAGGAAAGTGACCAGGACTGCCTGCAGGGGGCATGACCGTCAGTGTGACAGTTAGCGGAGTCCATCTTGGTTATTTCATAACAATTTTTCAGAAATAATAATTATTATTACTACTGAGGATTCTGAAGAAGACAGGAGGGGTGGGGGTGTGGGTTCAGCCAGACAGGGAGATTTATCAAAAGCATCTATCACAAAAACTGCCATGTTATTTTTAACTGAGGGAGCTTTCACAGGCCAGATGTCCATATCCCTGGATCGGGGGCTGCCTCTCCAGCCCGTGAGGATGACACTGGTGTATTGTGATAATCCCAATAAAAAGTCGGTTTGACAGAGATGTTTAGACAGCGAGATGACAGTGAGTCTCTGCAGTGCAGAATACTAGATTGCACATAGAGGTAGAGACTGAGGCACTGAGTCTCAGCTAGAGTCATACACAAGGCTGACTCCTGGGGTATAGAGTAGTGGGCCCCAGGGTTGCACCCCCCCGCCCCCCCATTTTCACTGGCTCTGAGCCAGCACGGTTTTCCCAAATTCATGTGATGTCACTGCAATTGGCTGTACCCCAAATTACACATGTATGCATGAAAAATAGCCGCCCGTCCATCGTTTATCCACTTACTCTGGTGACTGGAGCACAACGCTGGGGCGCTTCCGGGCAGGATGTCAGGCCATCACAGGGCATGCATGCCACAGGCAGCGTACAGATGCAGATCAGCCTGGCCGCATCGCTTTGGACTGCAGGAAAAAACAGAAGCAGACAGAAGAATCAGGTACTGCATGTGGGGAGAAGAAGAGGGATTTGAACCCCCAACCCTAGAGGCAACAGTGCTGCCCACAGAGTCTCCTTCAGGCAAACATGCTGTTTTGTATTTCTCCATTTCAGACGCCCCACCCATTCCACAGTGAGCCCCTCCCCAGAAAATAATCTGGAGACATCACCAGTCCACAGTGTTAGAGAGTGAGACAGTGAGTATAAGCCGGGGGTAAAGACAATGATCTGCAAGTTATACGACGTGAGACACTGCAGAAGAGCAGACTGTTTGGTATTCACCACAGAATCACAGAGAGCCACATCCAGTCACGTCTCCGGCAGACAGGCCGTCCTGATGCAGCCGGGAACACAGATAAATAAGCTCAACATCCCTCTACCATCTCAGAATATTCTTAGAGACATTGGACTAAATGAAAAGCAGAAATCATAATTACTGCCTCTTAATAAAACAGCAAGAAGGCGTTTTCAAAGCAAAACAGTCTAATTACTTCCAGGGTTTTCCATCCTTCTGAGACAGGTGACCTTTGCATCTGTTCTGATATTGATCCACACGCTTCGCTTCCCCCAGAAGCTCTCTTCTGTGTCAGCACTCGCTGAGATGGACGATGTTAATAATATTGGCTTTTCATTGGTTCATTTTTGCCTTTGAGGCTTTTCATACTTCCTGAATTTCTCTGTTAAATATTTAACAGTGGAGCTGATTAGTTTGTAGCATTTCTCTATAGCAATAAGAAAAGATATGTGGACTGTGAAATTGTGGACAAGTTATTAGGATGAATTTAGAATCGCCCGGAACACCTGAACGTGGGCTGGTCTTTGGTGTTAGACACACGTTGTCCAGTTAGTTGATTCGCCGTCACACTTCATCGCACTGTCCAGGTCTTTAGCACCGTGCAGGAAATCAGAATTAATGAAAAACTTTTATAAAAGTCACATTATGTGGATGGTGACTGTTGTTTTTTTCCAAATGTTCTCACCAGTCTGGCCAGCAGCTCCAATACACCTCACTTAGAGTGTTTGCTTTCCTGAGAATGTAGATGCATAAAAAACCACTTGGAGATAATGACAGGAATCACTGCTTTGTAACCACAAGCACGCCACACCCACCTCTGCCTGGATATTACTGCCCCCCCCCCCCCCCCGGTAAAACTATAACCGTTTAAAGTGAAGGTGCAAGGCCAACAGCGTCTGGGTCTGTTAATAGATCCAAGGTAATTTACCATGCAGCCTCATGAACTCCTATTAAATGGTAATCATAATACAAGACGGCTCTGCCGGCTGTCTGCAGCCCGTAGGCGTACAGGCGTGCGCGGTGTAAGCTGCAGAAGGTGAACAGACGGTGAGGAGGTCAGCATGTCTTTCCCTTGGCTGGTACAAACCGACCACTGCGTGAGGATTTACAGCACGCAAAGGGGTGAGGTCACAGTGGGCCGTGGTGCGTCACGAGTTCACCTGGGCTTCCCCTTGGGAGTGCGATGGAAGGGACAAAACATTTATCGGGCATCCTGTTGTCATGTCAGAATCGACAGCCGTCAGAGCGGCACTGCATATACCCTCACTGCACTCCCAGCTGACAGCTGCCTCTGTCCACTTGACCTCAGACCCTCGGAAAACTGCAATTCCATGCAGGATGTTAGAGCGGCACAGGCCAAGGCAACGCTAGCAAAGTGTGTCACGCTAACAGAAAAGTGACATGACTGCAGCAGCCTGTGGCCTAACCAACGACGGCAGCGTCAGCCAAACAGCCCAAAATACCATAACCCTCTGTGGTAGTCAGTCAGTAGCACATAGCTGCTATAGATGTGGGACGATATGATGAGTATGAATCTGATTAGGCTTGTTTGTGGTAGTATGGAATTATCTTTATTATCGAACGTGTACTTTCTCTGTAAGCGTCTTTGAGTTCATATAAATAAAATGTATTATTATTATTAGTATTATTATTATCTACTTCATCAAATTTTGAACATCCACAACCTGACTCCAAACCCATCTGGTTTGTGCCAACCATCCAATTCAGTGCTGTGATGGAAAATTTTAAAAAATATCCTGTGCCTTACTAGACATCTTCTACAAAACACTTTGATGGAACTATGTTGAGTGAAATGACAGAAAGGGGGGGGGGGATTGTAGGTGAATTTCACTTCATTTACTGGAGACAGAGACACACGACACTTTCGTGCTGGAAAGGGAAAGTGTCGGTTAATTCCACAGAAAGGCAGGGTCCTTTTCTGAAAGGGTGAGATTAAGCCCGCATTCCCTGACCTTTTTCCAGTGTCCCAGAAAATTACCTTAAATAATGAAGACAATCCCATTTGGATTGCACTGCATTGTCTGCACTGCATGGTGTTGCTATGTTGCTGTCCCTGGTGAATTAAGTGACATTCACATTTTGGCAAGATAAAATCTCGCAGGGCTCTCTGTAAATGCCTTTTTACATAATCATGTAGTGGGCTGGAAAAGTATATGACCGATTTACAATGTTCAGTCAGTCTGTTCTGGAATATTGCTTGTATATGTAACATATCATCAAATAACGCTATACTGTCAGAGACTGATACTTCTTCATGCAATGGAGACTTTATTGTAATACATATAAAAAAACTAGTGTGAACCAAACATGAAAAATAAAAATAAAAGGAATCTTTGCTTTGAAAAAACAAAATGATCCTTGTGCCACTCCTGTTGAATGCTAACATGTTAAATCTTTCTGGCTATGAATTTAGGCTGCCATCTAGTGGCTGGAAGGTGGAACAACCAAAAGGGAAAAAAAAAATTCTTCCAGCCCTGATGAATGTAATAATGTAAACTATGTAAAACAACAGTGCGTGTCCTTTTTACTGCATGGTGTTTTCGAGCTCATGAACATTATTACGGACAGTGTGGAACAGGTGCTGTGCTGATACAGTATAGGTTGCCCTTTTTCTGATAATCCAGGAACACTAATGGTCAATCAGTACATGGAATCATAAAACTTTTAATACATGTGATAACAAGCACAGCATTTTACAAGAGAAGAGACCTGGTGAGCGAGATTAATCAGCAACTCACCGGTTAATCTTAAAACAGCAGTGACTAACCCTGAACAGCAGCCAACATGCAATTCAGCATTGCCTGTCAAACCCCCCGCCCCCCCCCACCCCCGGCCATCAGCGTCCGATCGCCTCAGTCCTGGTGAGCTCCGGAGATGGGTCCCGGTGGGACGCCGTGCCAGATGAATCAGGAGATGGATGCTGGGCTTTTTAGGTGATTTGTGATGCTGGTGAGAGCCAAGGCCAGGACGACGTGCACAGAGCAATTTGAAATGAATTAACAAGCAGCTAATATGTCACAAGGCCGTCAATGAGCTCCAAGCAGCAAGGGGGCGCCATAGAGCAAAGCGCCACAGCAGTCCACTGACACGCAGGGTCCTTCCCTCTGCCCATAAATAATTTATGCTGTTTACAATCTGCTGAATATAACCAGACCATCAGCCCTATCCCTTCATCATACTGTTCTGCTTATCTTACGGAAATAATATCGTATGTTTTATATCATAGCAGAGTTGTTGTTATATGCTACTTAGTGGTTGCATTTGTTCCAATCAATCAATAAATGACACGGCTGCCTGTGTCAGTGAAGCTTCTGATTGTCTCGCTCAAGGGGATGGCAGGATGTCCTTAAGCGTCGAGATGCTTTCTTTTTCCCTCAGCCGGTTTTGTCTTACCGGGTATGAAATAGCATACTCAGAAAAAATAGCTCCTGCCTGCCCTCCTGCCTGCCCTCCTGCCTGCTCGCCACAACCTTGCCGTCACCCCACTACCTCCACCCACTCCACCTACTCAAATTACATAACAGCTTGGCACCCCTTCAGACTGGAAACGCCAGGCCTCTGTCAAGGTGGGCTATTTTTACATGCCATCCCCCAAGGTGTTGGGAGCAGAATCGACATGTCCTTTTCTCATAAGCAGCTCTATGGGAGGCAACTATGAAGCTCGACCCTGCATCTCATTACAATAGCTTATCTAAGCCGGCAACAGCACCATCTGCGGCAGCGAAGGGTTCTGCCAATCGACTGCAATCTTGGCAATATGGACACTTCACAAATAAGACGGACCGGCGGGGGTGCCCATGTTTAAGGTGGATCACACAGGTTGTGTGGGGAGAGGCCTACTTCTGAACACAAAGGAGATGGCAAACCCAGATGTTCTAGATCAATGTTTCCCAATCCGGTCCTTCGGGACCCACAGACAGTCCATGTTTTTGCTCCCTCTGAGCTCCCTGCCAAACACTCCATGTTTTTGCTCCCTCTGAGCTCCCTGCCAAACACTCCATGTTTTTGTTCCCTCCCAGCTCCCCGAGCAAAAACATGGACTTCTTGCAGATTGGGAAACACTGTTCAGTTATGCTTTCATAAAAGGTAATAAGAATTTTGAGGGGGGGGGGGGCAGCCTGAAGAGCATCCAAAAATGACTCCTTACTATCTGTGCTTTTAAAATAAACAGAAATGCAGCTCAGTTTCATACAAAACAGCACATTGGGCGGCTTGGTAGCTTAGCAGCCAGATACCTTCAGGCGGGAGTTTGGATGCAGATGAGCCTCAGGCCCGAATCTGCATGAGTTTGCATGTCAGCCCAGTGTTCATGGAAATTTCCCCTCACAATCCAGCTAAATGCTCACTTCGGATGACGGATGACTCTATGAATAAGTGCGTGATTATTCTAAGAGGTCTCCAGTCCAGAGTGTACCCATCTTCTCAGGACAGGGTGGGGACCTCCAGGAATCAGACTAAGTAACTGGTAACTGAATCACACATCCCTGAAACCAAAATGGATGGTGATATGAAACCTGGAAAACAGCCGGCATCTCTTTTTCTTTAGAATATCTGCACCTACAATTACATTTGCTTTTAGAATAGAATAGAACAGAATATCCACTTGCATATATGACAAAATACTGGAAGCAATTTAACCAAGTACACTTCTAAAATCACCTCCAATCTGGTCTCATGTGCAGTTCTTTAACATGTATGCCCTAACACAGGTTTCAGAACTTTGATTATATCTGTCGTGCCAATCGATTCAAGGTGGTTCTGGGGTTGAGCCGTTTGGCCGCATTTTTCCACACACCTGCTGAGTGCGCCGCTGTGCCTGGGAACAGCTCATGCTAACCACAGGCAGATCTATGTCGTTTACTTTGAAAACTGTCCACTCGATAAACAGAGCAAATGTGATGGGCGAAAAATCTGAAGAAAAACAGAGAAGCGGAGCAGATGCAGGACACTCCCCCGTTCGCAGAAAGCACCGCTTCATGGAATCTGTAACGAATTCTGAAATCCTGGAACAAAAGCTCTGCTCAGTCACGATAATCATATAAGGAAAACGACCTTTGGCATGGCTCAGCAGGGAATTCAGCTTTTGTTCTTTGGACTTGTCTGCACTGGAAAACACAATGAAGTTCAAGTCTGCCGAGTCTCTTAATCATGTAAGTATATTTTTAGTTAAAACAAACTGTCTTGAGTTTATTTCATAATCATATTCTTTGTCGCACAATGTTATTTTTTATGAAGAACAGAACACTAACCCCATAGTCAGAAAACTGCATTGTTTGTGATTTCAAATCGAATGTCAGCTGACTTTAGTTATACTGAATTGCAGAGAGTATCATATTCAGTACATAGCCTGTCTATTTTAGTATAATCAATGAGCGTCTGTTTGATAATAAGCTGATTTCTCTAAAACATTCATGCCATGTTTTCAGTTTAACAGGGACTTGGACTGAGCCAGTGTACTTGCCAAAGGAGAGGTAATGCTGTAGTAGGTTACACCCTGGAACTGGGACCAAATTCGCTGTAAGGGACCAGCAGCTGCACCCTGTGTTTTGTCTAATGGAACCTGCTGCAGCAAACTGACAGCTGAATAGCTGTAGAACCTGTAAGCTACTGTCTGAGTCAAAGATCTGATAAAGATCATTGCTAAAATTAATTCATGACAAATTATGAAACACCAGTCTCTATATTTGGATAACAGACAGGGCCCAACCCGTTTTTCAAGGTCCTAAGCAAAATTTCATTAACCTAGTTGTCATTTGTCATTTTCCATCCCATTCTGACAGGCAGATCAATTGGGTGGGGGGCTCGTGGTGGCTGCTGGGCCCTAAGCAGCACTTAGTTTGTGTTTGCCTTGGGTCTGCCCTGAGAACGGGCCTAAATGAGCTACAGTTTAATTTTCTTTGACGTTGAACAACTTTAGTAAGCGCTGGAATACTAGAAGTACTGGAATATGGGCTGCACATTCTTACATAAATGCAACAATTCTGCCATCTAGTGGCACTCACAAAAAAAGAAAAATACGAATTTACAAAACGGAAGTAGGACTGTCACAGATCACGTGTTTTTTCACGTTGCTATTTTTATGGCGGTTCTGAACCGCTGTTTAATATTGTCAAATGCTTCTGAAATTAGAACGTTTTGCTTTGTCATTCTGCAAGCGGTTACAAAAAAAATGACAATTCTGCTGTGATTAGGTACACTGCTTAGCGAACTACTGGTATCGCGTTTGTATGTTAGAGTTTTATTTACCGTTCGGAGTAATGCAGCTTCTGATCTGATATCGGCTATGCCTGATGGCCGTCTCTGGTTTATTGGAAAACGACCTATTACGTTTTCCTTACGCTACGATCGAGTGGTGTGAAAATATGTTTAAATTTACTTTTCATACAGCGCGGGTTTTATTAACCATTTTCACCATGATTTTGTGTTCCAAATAAACGTGATTTCTTGTCACGACCAAAAGGCAACCATTTTCTCCTTGTATACGTCACGACGACACGTAATGACTTAATTCGTACAGTACGTATATATGATTGTATAAACACGCGCACAGTAACTTTTATTCTGTCTAATATTTTGGTCTTGTTAGATAAACATATCATTAGAAAAGATTCAATTTCTCTCTTTTAGGAATCAGCCCCTTTATGTGATACAGCACACTGAATAGTACTGATGTTACCATGACAGAAGTCCCAGTAATTCTGGATGGTGGATTGGCAACAGAACTTGAAGCTGCAGGCCTGAAGATACAGGTAACATGACGCAGACACAGAGAAAGCACGATTACGGTATGGAGAGATGTGTGATTGACGATAGGATCTGCTGAAACAGGACGACCCCTTATGGAGTGCCAGAATACTGCACAGTAACCCAGAGGCTGTCAAGAGCGCCCACGACAGGTAGGGTCTACAAACCCCCTGAACTGACTTGGTTTGTGTACTTTTCTTTGTAGTAATCTATTATTATTATTATATTTCAAAACTGCATAACTGCAGTGTGTTACAGTGGTTCTGATTTGTACCACAAGGGGTATTTTAGCAAATTACAAGGTGCAGCAATGTTTGCGTAGATTTCTTCAGAGTGGTGCAGATGTCATCGTGACGGCCTCCTATCAGGCTAGCATACAAGGGTTTGTCCAGCATCTGGGTTTCTCAGTGGAACAAGCCAGCCAGCTACTGATGTCCAGCGTGCATCTGGCCAGACAGGCCCTGCTGGAGTTTGTGGCCAGGACCCCTCCTTCGGGTAAGAGTGGCGAGTCGCCGTAAGCGTTCTCCGGCCTGGGCTTGGTCTCACCCTGACCCAACACAGGCTGCAGGACAGGTTGGTTTTGTGAAGCTGTTATTGGGTAGTATGATGTCTTTAATTCAATGAATGAATCAAATGACAAACATTCCACTCCTTCACTTTACTGGTTATATCTTAATAAAAAACTGGGGTTAAAGATCATGCCAGACAAGGCAGGAGCTAACACACGACACCATCTTGCTCTGGAATTTACCGCATGCCTGTGTGTTTACTGAAGTCCTGCTGGTTCCAGTAGGTACTACATTAAAGTCAGAAACTGATCCCAGTGCTTTTAGTATAAACGGAACTGGAAGGTAACTGGGACACTTCCAGCCATGGTGGCCCTCCCTCACTCACGCTGTACGCATCACCGTGGATCTCCTCCTCCCCAGGGGACAGAGTGCCGATGGTGGCTGGTTCTGTTGGGCCTTATGGCGCGTTCCTCCATGACGGCTCTGAGTACTCAGGAGCTTATGACCAGGACATGACTGTTGAGGTGAGGCAACCAGTGGTGCTCTCAGTCCCGGTCCTGAACAGCACGAGGCCGGAAGTCACCGGAAGAATCTTCTCTGGTCTTAGGAGCTGATGGCCTGGCATCGGCCAAGGCTGCAGTGCCTTGTTTCTGCGGGGGCTGATATTATCGCCATGGAAACCATCCCCAGCCTGAAAGAGGCGGAGGCCTTGGTAAAACTTCTCCGGGAGTTCCCTGCTTCTAAAGCCTGGCTCTCCTTCTCCTGTAAGGTAAGCTCTGCGGCTGAGTGACATTTCCAGCTGCTTCCAGTTGTTCTCGATTTCTGTGCCTGGAACTATAACAAAGAGCTACTCATATCTGATAGACGAAAGGCTTGAGGACCCAGGAGCCTTCACAGGGCTTTACGTGGTGAACAAAGTCATTTGAAATGTCTTCCAGGATGAAAAACACATTTCCAACGGCAGGTTGTTCTCAGAGGGAGTGCGGCTGGCCCAGAGGTCCCAGCAGCTGGTTGCCGTTGGGGTAAACTGCTGTGCCCCCCCCCTCATTGAGCCGTTGTTGGTCAGCGCTGGTCCACTTAGCAGCCCGGACCTGAACTGGATCGTTTACCCCAACAGCGGGGAGGAGTGGGACCAGGACGTCGGGTGGGTGGAGTCAGGTGCCAGCCTAAAAAAAATCTCCCCAGCATGTATCTTAATCTGTCATGATTCTAAGACGTTCCTCTGCATCACCATTTCAGATGGAAAACATCAGAAAGGAGGATCTCCTTGGCCAGGCTTAGCACGCGGTGGCGGCAACTGGGAGCGTCCTGGATCGGTGGGTAGGGCTTGTGTGACGCGAAGAGCAGCAGTCGGTCGTAACGTGTCGCCCATGCAGCGCTCAGCAGAACAGCTTCTTGCAGGGGGATGCTGTCGCGTCAGCCCGGTGGACATCGCAGAGCTGAAATCCCACCTGGAAGGGAAGCCGGTCACTGGAGCTGAAGCCCAAAGCACTGCAGCCTCGCAGTGATGACATCACGACGTCAGCCAGAGATGACCCACTACAGAGCCTTTTCTTGACCTACTAAATCCATGGATGAAAAAATAAACCACGTTCGTTTCAGTGAAATAAAACACTCAATCTGTAGAAAGTTTTATTTATAATCAAATAAGGGGGGAAAAAAAAACAAATGTACACTAATGCCACATTTATACATGGGGGAGACTATGGAGCAGAGACCTTGACAATTTCAGGGGCGGTGGAATATATGTGGGTTTATATGACATAAAGAAGCAGACGTGCTGTCTGGTCTTACTGATATATCCCACAAGGCCTTTTTCACAGGCTATACCTTAGTACATTCAACAATACAGTGATTACAGTGTAATACAGTGAATACAGTGAACCCAGTACAATTACTCTGCCTCACTGAGAATCTTTTTCTTACCTTTACACTTTGAACAAAACTGGCTTTCAGTGTAATCTGCAAATTCTACACCATTTTCTTTCAGGGACCTTCTCGGTTGAGTATCGTACTTCTACAGACAGAATCGGTAACGTAAAGTGTGCCAAGTCATGTGGTCAGACTCCAGCTCAGAAAGAAGCGTTGAATTGTCGTCTCCCCGCGAGCTAGTAGGACGACACTGCTGTGTACAAATGGTGTTAAATCCACTCGTACCCAGGCACCTGCCTTATGCTAATCCCCTCATTTTACCAACATGTAGATAAATGAAGACTTTGCCACCTTTGGGCCAAAATTGAACAGTCTGATTCAGGGGTAAGAGGAGCAGACGGACTTGGTGCACCTTCTCCCAGAATCCCCTGCAGAACCCGTGCTCTCACTCAGTGCTGTCCTCGTCTATCTCGCTGTCTGGGGACCCGCCGTGTCTGTACTCGTAGGTGTTGGACAGGCGTTTCCAGCTGACCTCTTTGTGGTAGCCCGTACTCAGAGAGTGGCTCAGGTGACCCAGGGACTTGGCGGAGTGCTTGTCCTCGAACCCGACCCCCCTCTCTGCCCCCTGATGCTGGAGGTCGTGCCGAAGGTTCTCCAGGTTCAGAGCCCAAGGGCCCAGCTTCTGCCAGTTCACCCTCTGGAAGGCCATGATGCAGTGCAGGTTCCCGCCGACCTGCCGGATACACGGAACTGTTAATGGTTCTTACTCTGTGAGGACACCTGTTCCGGAACCCAAGTTCCTGGTTTTGCCTAAAGATACAAGTTAGCAATCTAAAACCAAGCTTGTGTGAATAACTCCTTAATAATCTTCTCTACATGTAAAAACAAAATATAACATTATTGACTGCTCAGGATTATACTGAGAATTTTGCTTACAAATATCAAAATTTGCACAATCCCTTTCAAGACTTTAAACTAATAGATGTCACCTTATCAGGAGAAATGTTTAGATTCATGCAGCACTTGGGTGATAGAGGATAACTGGTTGGAAAAAAACCACAAACCTTTTTGGTTTTGCGAAACTGAATTCCCCTTTCTGTGTGCCGAATATCTATATATTCCGGATTTTGTGTGTTAAGGTCGGTCACAATGTCCATCCACCTAAACAAAGATTCAGTGAGACATAGGTGAGATTGTTGCTGACAGGAAATGCTTCAAGGCCACTGCGAATCAGAGACTGACTTTTTACAGTGGATGGCCGGGTGTTTCCTGCTCGGCTCTCCAATGAGAATCCAGTACTCCATTTCGCTATTTGGGAGTGGACCCCTAAAGAGAAACAGAGGAAATACAGCATAGTCTGACAAGACTCATTTTGAGAGAAATCGTCTTATGGAAACTCATCATTATGATTCAGTAAAATGTATGGTTTTGATTTATGTAGATTGATCATAATAATTGATACTTTATTGAAATTGTCTTTACGCCTCCCTCAACTTGCTCTTTGTAGAGTAAGCTGTCCGTGAAGGGCAGCAACCCATCGGGGGTGGCCAGGGAGCTGGGGGTTAAGGGTCTTGCTCAAGGACTCGCAGACGTGCTGAGGCCGGGCTTGAACCGGCAACCTTCCGATCACAGGCACGCAGGCTTAGCCCACTGAGCCACGTGCTGCCCCCAAACTATAGATTATGGATATAACACTTAAGGACGAGCTAATATTTTTGGGTGTATATACAGTGGGTGTTTTATTAATAACTAAATCACCAAAATCCTACTCTCTGCCTACCTGTACGCTTTGGCTGCTTTAAGTGGAGTGGCCTCGAAGCCCAAGGGGCAGAAGTAGTGATTCTGACAGTGGTAGATGTAGGCCATCGACTCATCCTTGAGACCTTGGGTCAGCTTTGTCAGAGCTCCCTCCGCTGGCGAGGAGGCCACAGAGCACCGTGTTAAAACACAAATAAGTAAGACGCTGGCCAAAATGTAGACTCTTGGCAAAGGCATGACTTACAAGCTTATCACAGTAGCATAACGTGTGTACACATCATTAAGATGCTATAGCATATAACACAGTCGTAGACTGATGTGCAGTGTAGCACAACCATGTGACCTGTACCTACTAGAATTTAATGTTAATAAGGACTGTCGCTTGCCTGACTCTCCAGCAGTCTTGTGTTTCCCGTGGGGTTTATACAGAATGTAGGAACACCCCCGCACACGGAAATTGTCATTGATTTGTCTGAACCACCTGTGGGAATGGAGAGGATGAGAGCAGCCCCTGGACGCCAAAAGGGGAGGGGACACACATCAGCCAATCAGAAGTGTGAGAAGGGGGGCCGCGTACCGCATGAGGGTGGCGTTGCCGGTAAAGGGGCCAAACTTGATTTCCTCAAAGGGAGGCTGGAAGCCCAGGATATGCAATGCCTCCTCCTGCGAGATAGGGGGCAGGCTGCAGGAGCAAGACATGGGTCAGTATGCACCTTTTCCTGCTCACCCTGCGCAGCACTGGAAAACAAACGGCAGCGTAAAAGTGTGATGGCGTGGGGGGGGTAATGAGACATTGAAGCCCCACTCCATCACGACACACTGTCAGTAACTGACTGCTTTAACTGTACTGAGATCAAACAACAGAAAAAAAAACACTGTACAATATGTTGTTGAAACACCGTGTGAGATGTTTATGCTCGCGATGGCAAGAGACTGGAGGCGTGGCTGGATGGATGCTGCCCGGCATCATCAGAAAGTATCGTACAGCGTGTCGCTGGCCCAGGATCGCATGAACATTCAATATACAGCGAGTACTGAACATGCCTCGTTATTGCAAGTCGAAGTATCTAAGTCAAACCATCATAAAGCGAGTTGCACCGGTAATGCTACAGCCCATAACGCACTTCTGCAAGACTTCAGAGGACAGAGAAAGCAACTGATTTCCGACTCCTTGGGAGATTTACCTCCCGGCTCCCAGAGTGCTGTACAAAAAATTCCAGCAGGATACCAGTGATGAGATTCCACAGGAAGTCTTATACTGTGGACGACTGATGCAGTACCTATAAAGCAGAGAGCAGACAGAGCCCCTTTAATGCACAGACAGCCCCAATGTACTTAACATAGGAACACAGCATGGGATGTTCGGGGGGGGGGGGGGTACAGACCATCTTCTCAGGTCCAGCACCTTCCTCTGTTTTACTTCCTCTAGCGTAGCCTGCGGGGGGGCGTCCTGCAGATTCCTGCTGTGTTTGTCAGAGGACTTCATCTTCTTGGAGCTGGGCTTCTTCGTGTTGGCTGTGATTCAGAGGCAAAAAAATATATGTTTATTAAACCCCTGAAAAAGGAACAAGATCAGAGTCACAATTTGCTGAGCTCTGTTGATAAATCAGTGGGAAATGCTAATATCAACTGAACACCGTCTGCGATGACAAACACGATATATGATGAATCATCGTCTCTATTATGTCATTTCTCCCACCCCCTTAGTGACTAGCCAGACTTCCCTGGCACAAAGGACTAAAAAGGGCTAAAATACATTTTTAAAAGGCTTGCTTACTTGTCCTGTTTTTCCTGGTCAACACGGCATCGAAATCGGTGGTGTCGATCTCCCAGGCGAGCACCGGCTTGGCGAGGCCGGACGACACCACATCCACGTGGCAGTCTCCATCAAACGCCACGTTTCCCCCTCCGCCTGGCGCTGGTGGGTAGCTGGACGTCTTAGGCTGACTTAAGGAGGGGCTGCTGTCCCCAGACACAGATGGCCCCTCCCGGGGCGTGCTGATAGGGTGGTACACAGAGGCAGCATGGTTGAGGAGTGCATAATCCGAGCAGACCGTGTAGAACTTCTCCCGGGAGTGTGTGACCGGGCAGGTCCATGGGAGTTGGACCTCGGCACTAGATGCCCGCCGTGGCCTCAGGGCGTCCCTGGGGAAGGAGCCAGACAGGCTGGGCTCATTGTCCCTGCTGGGGGGCCTTTTGGGGGCTTCCTGGTCACTGGTGGTCGAAACACTTGCCTCTTGACTTTCTGAAGTGTTAGGCATTGAATCTTGAATGGTAGATGGGAGAATTGTGCTTAGCTTAGACTAAGTGACGACGCTGCTGGAGAAAAAGCGAAGTAAAAAAAACACAAACAGATTACTGCAAGACCTTCCCAGGAAGGCTGTTTGTTGTTGTGCGTCTGTTTCTGGGAAGCCGATAAGGTCTGTACCTGGCGGCTATACAGTCAGCCTCACCATTCCCATCCGCTTGCACGGGCAGCTGACATCCAGTCGTAGGTCATCCGATTGTCCCGCTTCATACAAAAACATGCATGTGTATTTCACACGTGGGAATTCGGACGCATCGGCGGCATGTATGTATGGTGTTCGGTATACAATATCTATTCTGTTTGCTAAATCAGCAAGCTAAATTTAATAGCTCGACGGGACTTTAAACAGCGACGCACTATAAGAACACGCCATCTCTGCACGAACCTGGAAAGAACAATATTACGAACTACCGGTTTCCCACCGCTACCTGGAAACCCCCAGGTAGAGAAAATGTTAAGCCCCAGTCGACACTGCAACCTGCTATGCTAGGTTAGGCTAAGCCATTGATGTTTACCCACCCCCTCCCAAATGACAATTGCTCTTCGGCCCCCGCTGGCGTAATACTGGGGAGAATAAATAAGAGAACAGTTTGCGCGTTACCACCGTACCATTACCGATTTGCAACGATTCTGTTACACAAAATTACTGACTGACTATGCTGGACCTAGCGAACATTGTGCCAGATATATCCGTAGTGTCCGTAGTGTCCGTACGTACCAGGCTCTTTAAAAATGGCTCTGTCCACCCGGGTGCGTTACGATGCTATAACTGGGGTTGGACGTCCGAAACCCCACCTACTCCCTCATGCATTATCATAAGCATCACTCTACGTACCTCGTAAGCGATGCATCTATCAGAAAAATGCTCAGAGCCGGCAGTGGGTTGCCAGAGGGCGGCGATCGCAGTGTTGCTCTTCGGGCACCGAGCGCCGCCCGAGCGTAACGCGTCTTCCATGGAGACCCGGAGCAGAACCGACTGCCGCCTCCCGCAGCGATCGCCGCTCCTGCGCAAACTGGCAGGACGAATCGCCTTGTGTACGGCGGGGTGCCGCCTCCAACCCGTCTGCCGGGACAGCTTTACATTTTGCAGGAATAAACCCGGGAGTCGGCCAGCGAGCCGACGTCGGTGTGTTGGTGTGCTGTCCGCGCCTCCGTTTATCCTCTGCCACCTTTGACACGCAATTAGTTCAACTGTCCTTTATTTAGACATTAAAAAGCATGAGAGAACGAAAAACACCCCAACCTTTATAACCACATATTCAGATACTGAACTTTGCGTTGATGATTTGTAACCTTATTAATCATTAATAGAAATTTATTTGTATGCTGTCCTTTCTTTTTCGGTTAAGGCAGGGAAAGACTAGTTGAAGGTAAGTCTGTGTGATACATTCGTGTCTTTTAATGTACAATCAGTGTACATGGTGATGCGCAAAGGGACGGTTTTAATACGATTATTGCCGTGATGTTTAGCTTTAATGCAAAGTTACTTATTTGTAATATTTTGTACAAACACACGCTTGGGTGGCAAAGTGAAGGGGGATCCCACCTCCAGGGTTTGCCGATCGGGATCGGACAGAAGGCGGTGCTAAGTCGGGAATTTGGTTTCGAATACAGTAACTAAAATAAACTGACCGCTTGTGTGCATTTTAGTAACATAATAACCAGAGACGCCATACTCCCTCCGCGCATCTTTCGCTATATTCATTAACATCTAGAAGCTTTATTTTGTCGCTGATTTCACTGGAGCTCAGTACCCGGCCGCGAAGCGTGGTGCCAGGCGGAATTCTGCTGTTACACTCACGGACTTTGGGTAAGCATATCAAATTGTACCCCCCAGTACAGGCCAATCCAGTTATTTTCCTTTTTTTTTTTTTTTTTTTTTTTTACGATTTTCTTTGGAATCGTCCTAACTCCCCCCCTCCCTCACGGCGCACCTGGTTGTAGGCCTACCGTTGTATCATTGTAAATGTAAAATGAATAAGTGGGTACAACAGCTGGTTTTGGATAAAAGAGATATGACAGACAAAACAGGAGTAACAGGCCTACTCTTTATGACACAAAGTGTCGCTAATGGGTGTAGCTTCATCCCGCCAGAGTGACGCGGTGGCAGATCATGGCAGAGAAGCTGCTGGTGATAGATACGGACTGCGGCGTCGACGATGCCCAGGCGATCATGATGGCGCTGGTCGCCCCCGGCGTGCGGCTGCTGGGCATCACCTGCTGCTTCGGGAACACTTCCGCGGATAACGTGTGCCGGAACGTGCTGCGGGTGCTGTCCGTGTGCGACAGGACCGAGGTGGGTGCGCTACTCACCCTGGGGACAGACACTCACAGCTCTCATCTCGGGACTCTGAGACGTCATTCCTTCAGGGACTCCAAGCAAAGTATATTTAAAAAGCATTAGAAGTGTCGAACTGCCTGTGGATACTAATGAAGGACCAGGAGTGGTACCAGTGACATCGGGCACAGACAAGAAACGTGTTTGTTGCAGATACCTGTGTTCCGGGGTGCCATGTCCACCCTGGTGGCGACCCCCAACCTTCCCATCAGTCACTTCGGCACTGATGGTCTGGGGGACGTTCTGGAAGACAGCCAGCCAGATGCGTGGAGGACGCAGATCCAGGGGGAGCACGCCGTGAACGCGCTGATAAGGATGGTGTCAGAGAACGAGGGGCAGGTAATAATTACCACAGCACGTTTGCCCGTCTCACCCGTTTTTACGGCATGTTTGTCGCCCTCATCTGGCCAAGCTGTACTAGTGCAGTGATCTCAATTCCGTTTGGCGTTTTATATTTGGCACATTTGATAGGTTTCTCTTGTGGCGCTGGGGCCTCTGACAAACCTCGCTCTGGCTGTAAGACTAGACGAAGAGCTACCGAAAAAGCTGAAGGCTCTTTACATCATGGGAGGCAACATGGAAGGTAGCCTATATATTTACCACCCCCCCCCCCCCCTTTGTTTTTTGATTAAATGGAAAATATACTTTCCCCCTTACAGGTAAAGGGAACCGCACAATATGTGGAGAATTTAATTTTGTGATGGACCCAGAATCAGCTTATATCGTTCTGGAAGAGTACCTCTGCCCTACTTACATTGCATCATGGGAGTTTACCTGCAGAAACAAACTGTCATGGGTGAGACGGAAAAATTTGTCCCAATTCATTAGCACTGCTTGTTTTCAGACGGGTGTGCAGGCTTCGGTGTGTGAGACCTCAGCTTTTGATGTCCAGCTTTTGCTCTTGAGTGATTCAAGTCTTGTCTGTAATAGATTTTTCCACTTTAAATATAGTTCCATTTTATAAATTAGCTTGCTGCAGTGCTGAAAGTGGCTGACGGTCTGACGGGCTTTTCTGGGTGACAGGATTTTTTCGATGCACTGGTGAGCCAAGACACACCAGCAGCCCGCTTCATGAAAAAGATCACGTCCAAGTACTACTGCAGGGACGCAGTGACGAGGAGGGGCGTCCTTTTTGGACAGGGCTTTGTGTCATACGATGCGTACGCCATGGCCGCGGCCATCGACTGCAGCGTGGTGACCGAGAGCGTGCTGTGCCCAGTACGCGTGGAGCTGCAGGGGGCGCTGTGCCGCGGCATGATGGCCCTGGACCAGACCCACACGCTTGGGAAGCAGCACTGCGTGGCGGTCATGACAGCCTGTGACACTGAGAAGCTGGCCACTCTGCTCATGACAGCCCTCGATCAGCCTCGGGGGGCTCGAGACTCACAAACTGCCAGATTGTGAGGGGGGGGGGGTGTCCTAGGAAGGACAGTCTTATTTCAGACAACAACCAAATAAATCAACCTTCAGCCCAGTGACTGTCCATGGGTGTGGTTTATTTTGATCTGGTGACCAGTATTAGGTTCCCAAGATGACAAATGGTGGAATACCAATTCTAAACTCAAATCCAGCTTCAAACAGCTTCCCGAAGTAACAATTCAGATGGTGAATTCTCTTTATTTTTAAGTGAATCTGGCTTTTAAAATAATACATCGTGACAGATCTTCCCCGTTTTGACCATCAAATTGAACACAAGGCGGCCCAGGGCACAAACAGCCTGCAAGAACACATCGTCTGGGCGTTTTCACTGCCCACAATTCAAGTTTACCAATTTAAATTTAACTTTATGGCCAAAATAATATTATTGCAAACTTTAAACCAAGAATCTGTCTTGGAACAATTATTCAGCTTTATGCAAAGTGCTAGTTTAAATAATGTAATACTGTATTATAAAAATACCAAGACAATGCAGTATTACTTAAAAAGGGGGCGATACTATAATGCGTGTCCCTATAAGGGCAACATCTCCGAGCCATCACAATAACGTCTGTCCGCATTTAAAAACGGCTTTAAATAAGGCTTCTCTCTTCAAAAACTTAAAAAGTACCAGTTGATTTTAGGCCAGGCTACTATAATCGATCCACGTTTGCTGATTGGAAGCATCAGTAATGGGATTTTCTTTTTGTATCTAACTTTTGCCTTTAAAAAAAGAAACCAGAAGTGTGCAGGGAGGAGCGGCATGGTCAGGCGTCCTTGTCGCTGGGGTTGGGCCAGGGCTCGGAGCTCCGCCTACTCAGGGTCGGCCCCCACACGCTCCAGGGGTTGTAGGCGCGGCCGATCTCGGGCGCGGGGGTGGAGGGCGGCGCCAGTGTGGGGCAGCTGCCATCTGGGCTGCAGATGAGGTCAGAGAGAGGGGCAGGGGTGACCGGGGCCAGGGAGTGCAGGCTGCTGTCCCCGCTGGTGGACCAGATGGGGCTGCTGAAGAGAGTCCCTGGGGACCAGAGGCTGCTGGGATTGCCCAGGATGGACTGCAGGGGGGAGACATCCACACAATTACATCACACCAGCTTAAGGAGCTAATAGCTAGCACATAAGTGGGGGTGGGGGTGGGCGTTACTCTTACTGCAGTGGGGGCCGTTGGGGAGCCAGAGCTGATTGGCCAGGGGTGCAGGGGTTCGGTGCTGGGGGCGTCCCAGATGGAGGGCTGCACAGAATTAAAGTCTCCCCAGTTCTGCTGTGGCTCCTGGCTCTTGGGAAATGTCATCCCTCTGAAGACTAAAGGCACAGAGGTTCCCAGGTTACGCTCGGGTGGTAGCGGACCGGCGCCACACCGCTTAATGTCCTTACCCCCAGACAGATTAAATGTGTTGTTGGGTCCAAATGGGTTGAAGTTGGGGCTGTTTGCACTGTCAGTGGGACTCCAGAGTCCAGAACTAGGAGGAAAAGCGGGATATGAGCACTTAGGATGTGAGGCACCAGCTCGCCGTGCGAGAACAGACACCCACCTGTCGGAAGCGTCGCTCTCCACAGAGGTGAGGCGTGGCACGGGCGGCTTCCCCGGAGCCTCGGCCTTGCCAGTGCCAGCTTTGGGCGGCCCGCTGCCCCCTGGGAACACAGGGCATGTGACGCTCAGCCCGCCTGCCCGGCGACGCTCACGCTCACCTGGCTCCGGGGGAAAAGTCAGCCGCAACTCACCAGGACTCTTGTCGTAACCGGCGGCGACGGCCGCGAAGGTGGGGTTTCCGTTCTTGCCTGGCAGTGTGGCCAGTGGCGCCAACTTGCTCCTGTTCCCGGCTGCCTTCTTCAAGCCAGTCTCACTGCAGGTGAGAGACGCACAGAGTACAGTGGACAGTGGACAGTGACTCTCCCCAACTACCACGCTGATTTTAGCAGAGTAGCTCAATACCTCATCAGAATAAGGAACATTTCTGCAAGTAACACTGCAATATTCATTAAACAAAGAAAGATTGAGGGGGGAAAAAAAAGATGAAATTACCCAACCGAATAGTAGTGTCAAATGAATTGGAGGTGTTGCCACAAGATGTCAGATACACAGCAGTGCAGACAAATGCAATGTGATTAATGTGCATCAAGCCGCGTCTCTAAGATGACGCTGAACTGAACTGTACACAGGCGGTTAGCTTTCAATACTTATTGTAACTTCAGCCTCTTTACTAAATGACTGAAGGATCCTTGCAGGAGATGTGAACAGGCGATTGGCCGAATAGCAGTGAGGAAGACGTGCGTTACAGTGTGTGAGTGGAGCGGCGAACCCCCCCCCCCCCCTCCACAGGCTTGACAGCCACGCCGCTACCTGTTAGCATTGACCACACTGCTGTAGGTCCCTCGGGTGACCAGGCTGAGGGAGGTGGGCGGCGGCGAGCAGGTGCGGGACATGTCTGACAGCGGCCTCTTCAGGAAGGGGTCCGCGTTCATGGTCTGGAAGGAGAGCTGCTGCAGGCTGTCGGCCGCTGCAGGGGAGCAGAAGGCAGCCGTGCAGCCAGGGAAGTGTTCATGCTTTACGGAGAAGCAGCTCTCAATGTCCTCACAGCAAAAATAATCACCTATATGTATCCACTGGTATTTTATATGTCTAACCTACTAGTCTGTTGCAATTTATAACAAAGTACTCCACAAAACCATAAAAATCGGATCTGAAGTATTTTGCCGGTTAACAGACCAACACGTAAACAAATCAATATGCTTCTCAAAATGTTTAAACTCATATCACACCCAGTCTGCACACCGATTACATGCTTATTTACGTGTCATACATGTTCCCTCACTGCATATAGCTCTTCTGTAATTGTTTGAGTGACATGCTGCTTTCGACTGGGAATTAGGATTGACTTACGGCTTCCGGCCTTGTGAAGGGGCACCGTGTCCCACTCTGGTGGGGGGGAGTCCTTCTCCCCCTCCGAGCTGCTGCTGTTCCCAAGCTCCTGTGGCAGACCCTGTGACAGGAACTTCCCCAGCGGAGAGGGGCGGCAGTCCTCCGCCTTCCCACAAGGCACTGCGGGAAGCAGCCATTGCAGCACACTTACGGTGGGTTTCATCCATAGCATACTTTCAGTAGCTTAGCCAATTCAAAGACCCTCCATCTGCCAAACCAGGCGGCTTCTACCACATTACATTTATGTGAAAAGTACACAAACTGACAATTTTTCCAAACTCCTACACTGCAGTATTTTCAGTTTCGGGCTCCCCTGTACTCTTCCTCAGTTACCCAAGAATCTTTGCTCTTAAAAAAGGTACCAGGTTGTGCTGGCGATACCAAAATGCCCCATGGGAAATGTATGAACTGCACTGCTCCAAGGCGGCACGGCCACAATACCTGCTCTCTGTTTGGGCAGAGGCCTTGCCTTCACCCCTGTGGTTAATGTTGGGTGCAGCTTAGCTGTAAAGTTCTTCCTCTGCTTGTTCTCCAGGGGTGTGACGTACGGCAGCTCCAGGGAACTGGGTTCAAAGGAGGTTATAAGGTCAGTGTGGGGGGGGTCGGAGTGTTCAGGCCCCTCAACTCGCACGTCCCGTGACTCACCTGGACTTGCTGTCTGCTGGACCCTCCTTCTTCGTGTTGCTTAGCTTTTTATTCCTGGGCTTCAGGAACGTTGGAGGTTCCTCCTTCTCCGCTGTAAATGTCCGGCCTTTTTTCTCGACTGGTTCCTGGTGGGGGGTGGATGAGAAACACTGTGGGTGACGCCCGGCCGGCCGTGCGGAGAGGAGCGGAGAGGAGCAGAGAGGAGCAGAGAGGAGCGGCCGGCCGTGCAGAGCGCGTACCTCTTTGATGCTGGCCTCCACGTCGGGGTTAGAGGTCTCCGTGGTGGTGGAGGAGCTGTCGTCATCGGCCAGCACGTCCTTCAGGTCCTCAGCCCTGGGCTTCCCCCTGCCTTGCTGTTCCTTCTCCTCGCGCTTCTTCTGGGCTTTGGACTTTCGCTGCATCTTTCCCTTTTGAACGGTGGCTAAAAAAAAAAAAAAAATGCACAACAGCTCTCTTAAGGTCTTATGCCTTAATGCCCACAATCTGGATGCTTTATCATGTGATTTTCTGGCACATTTCATGCTGCTGGCCCCCCCCCCTAAGGGAACAGTAGTCTTCTGGTTAGTCTAGATCAGGGTCCCCTGATTCCGGTGCTGGAGGGCCAGTCCGACGCAGTTTGCCGATTTCCCTACTCAGACACACCTACTAAACCTGAGCTGAATAAACTGCGTCACAGACTGCCCCCCCCAGGACTGGAACCGGGGGACCCTGATCTAGATCCTAACCTGTGATGCTGGAATCTCATTCTGCTGGAACGGGAGACGCGCGCACTAATCCTAAGCCTGCCCCCCATCCCACGCACCTCTGCTCTGGGCGGCGGGTGACAGGGACTGCTCGGGGAAGACCTCCACAGAGGGCGACTCGGGCCGGTCCAGGTCCTTATCCATGGCCTCCAGGAGGCCGATGTAGTCCGAGTCCTCGGAGCTGAGGCGTGCCGGCCCCTCAGGCTGGGGTTTGGGAGGCTGGGCAGCCACCGCTGGCGTGTGGGCCGGGGGCTCTGGGGGGCTCAGGACCTGCTGCGGGGGTGCCGGCTGCTGGGCCGACCTGCTGCCGCGTAGCCGCCGGACGGGGAGCTGGCACTGAGTCGGCAGGCCGTCCGAGCTGGAGCCCGATCCGCCGGACCCCTTTCCCCCGAACTGGGGGCCCGTTTGCATAGCTGCCCTGCTGCTGCCGGTCCTGGACCGCAGGCCCTCCAGGTCCGTGGACGTCCGGCCGCAGGGACGACCACCCCCCCGCAACAAGGAGCCACCCGTCGCGTACATTCCTCGCGTCACGTTGTGGTTCGAATCCCCGTACTCGCTCGAGCTGGGAAGGTGGACAGGACACGTGGCGCGCAAGGTTAACGAGAACGTACACAGTAACAAAATGTTAAATTTTACGTAAAAATGTTAAAATGCATTGCAATAACCATGCTATGATATAACTACTGCAACTACACACACATAGAAATA